TTTTGTCATTTCGCACCAGCATCGACGACATTATTTCGCTTTTTCCAGATTTGGACTTTTTTAGGCCTCATTTTGCAGGTTTTGTAGCTTCTACAGGTATTATTTTTGATTCTCATTTTCGCACCTGCGTCGAAAGTAATAAAACTTTTTTCGCAAGCCCTAAAAATAATTATTTTAGTGCGAATGGACAATGTCTCTACGGTAGTCAGGTCGTTCCGACCGTCGGGCAATATCCTGTGAGGCATTGATACGCTATTCGTTGGGCTACTGGATTTATAGTAGCTATTGCAGAGAACTTTCACCAAAATTTGGTGACTTGAATTCGCTTTTACTGGTCAAAAAGCTTTGCAAAGGTGTCACCTTGCATGGAAGGGTCCTCCTTGGCAACATCACGATTTTCAGAACTCTCCATCTGAAGCCCAATGGGCCCTGGGGAGGTATAAAAGTCAAAATCTGAGGGACAAATAGGTCCGATCGGCGGACAAATCGGGCCTATGACACAATTGGTATCCAGTGTCCCAGAGTCACAGGGAGCCCCGGGCATACACTAAAACCAAAAGGACTTGCTCGGTTGCTAGTTGCAGTGGTGTAACCCTAAAGCGGGAAGGCCCGGTTGTCTCAGGGAAGTGCCCGGTTGTCACCCGATTGCCCGCGAGACCCTAATGTCACAGGGAGGGCCCGGTTGCTTCCCGGGCGGTGAGCGAGACCCTAATGCTAGTGGACTTGCAGTGCTGGTGGCACCGGGGGCAAGCCGTCGCGAACCACCACCCCATCCCCTCCAACAAGGGCGCCGCCCTTTTGTACTGCAATTCAGACGGTCGCGGCGAGCAACTTTGTGGGTCGACACGGTCGCATCGAGCACGGTCGATATCCAATTGTGCGTTGCCGATCGGACGGTGCGCGATGCAACGGCGCTGCCACCCTTTTGTCAAAGTGTCATAGGCCCGATTTGTCTGCCGATCGGGGATTATCATCGGACCTATTTGTCCCTGGATTTTGGCACTTTTATTACTGGCCCTGGGGCGCTGCGGGGGCGCTGCCATGTCTTCAGCTCGGGCAGAAGTTTATACTGCAGACACACTTTCCTCACCAGCATTCCAGTCGCAGTGCAGACCTCTTGTTGTAGAGCTGCAAGGGCTTTGGCTCATGAACTTGAGAAGCAGGAGCTATAAGCTGATGTAGCTTTAGCTACATGCAATAAGTGTATTCCACCAGTCATGCTCAACCGCAGGCGCAGCAGTTCTTATGGGAGCTCTGACTTCCTCGCTGCCATGGCAGCTGAAAGCGGTGGCAAAATCCCGGCGCCGGGTTATAGCCTATGGGACCGGAGCATGCGCTTACGCCTTGAGGGCGCTCTCTGCGTGTTTCTCTGCTTGGCACTGGCCGGTGGCTTATGGAGCATCATGACCTTCTCTTATGGGCAGGACGGCATTCTGTCTGGGTTCCATACTGGAGGGGCGCCCTTTGAGGTTGGCGGGGACAATGCATTCTTCAGGCGCTTTGCAAAGGCCTCAGAACCGGAAGAAGATTCACATACACAAGCCGAAGACACCTGGTTTGAAGATATCAAGTTCATAAGCGAGCGGACGGGGCCAAAGGCTATAATCAAAGCGGCGGCTGCCACTGCAGTAGATTCGAAAACCAACGTGTCGCTGATCAGTGCCTTTCTAGACAAGGGAGTGGTCAACCCAGACTCAAGGGTTAGCCGAATCATAGTTAACGCGGCTGTGCAATCAGGACAGCGGTATCCCCAGAATTGGGAGTGTCTCATCTGCCGATCAGGGCCGCTTGAGAAGGACGGTCGATGGGGCCCTGACTTCATCTGGGGGAGCGTGGCGCCCCTACTAAAACCTGGGGTACTTGACCCCCCTCGCCGGAAGGTGTTCCAAGACAGAGACGGATTTGGCATTGAGGAGGGGGATTTAGATGAGGAAGACGAGGACGCCTCACCTCAGCAAATGGGGGGGCAAGCTGGTGGAGGGGGAGGGGAATTTGTGCTGAATTGCTGGAAGAGCAAGGGCGTCGAAATGCACGTGGATTGGGGGGATATGAGCGGGAAGCCGTCGCTTGCGATGCAGTGGCACTGTTTGCTGGCGGAAGGTGACGACGGGTTTGATCTTCAGTTGGCGGCGGTTGTGCGCCCGGGCGATAAGGAGAGCATCGAGCGGGTGCTCTTTCCTGAGGGGAGAAGAGACCTGCGGCGCTTTGTGGCTGTCGACCAGGCGCAGGGACGGGTGGTTCCGAGGGTTGCGAATATTGTGAGGCGAGCGCTTTTGAGTGAGGGGGGGAAAGAGAGTGAGGGATTCTTGAAGGGGGAAGTGTTGAACGAGGCAGTGTCGGAAGGGGTTGCGAAAGTGGCGAAGTCTCGCGGACGGAGTCTGCTGGAAAGTGGGAAGAACGCTGCTTCCTGGCAGAACTCCCATTTGCAAAATTGTTTTGGTGAGGAGCAGAGTCGCAAAAGGAAAGGGGCCCATTTTGGGGGGGTGGATGCAGAGGTTTTTTGGTGGGGGGACGGCGAAAAGAAGCGCCGAGCGCTGCTCCAGGCAGAGGAAAAGGTTTCGACGCGCTGGGTGCGAAAATGGGAAGCAGAAGGGAGGCGCGCTATCGCAAACATCACCGTATGCACAGGGCCGCTATACGGCGACCACCACGAAATGCTTGCGGAGTGGGTAGCGTTCAACCTCCTCATGGGGGCGAACAAAGTGCGAGTTTACTACGTAGCAAAAGGGGTGTCACCAAAGGTGATTCCGGTTTTGGAATACTTCGCAAGGGGGGGTCAGCTGGAGTACTTCGAGTGGCACCCCCCTCAGGTAGCGGCTTTCAACAACGGGCAGAACATGTTCTACCATGACTGCTACTACCGGTGAGAGGCAGACGTTTTCAGCTCGTTGTTTGTGTGCCTTCTTTGGTGAGCCTAGTTTGTTTTCTGTCATCGTACTGGGGCCTGCTCTTTACCTCTTGGTTCTTTCGACGATCAGAAGTTAATTCACTTTTTCAGTTCGGTCTTAGCTTGCTTCCAGTGTCTTCGTACCTCAGTAGATAAGCAAAGCGATCAACGCAAAAGCTTCTCAGGTCGCACCTCCTAAAGGTGCACTCCCTGAAGGTTCAATTTTTCCATTTGTTCACGTTCTCAGCTTATTTCGTTTTCGGCACCCTGATGCTTACGGGTGCCTACAATTCTCTGTTTTGAAGCCGTTGGTTTTGGGGGTTCCAGAAGCATAATAATAATATCTGATCAGTGGTGCGGCCAAAAGCTCTTTTGAGAGAACGATGGTTCTGCAAAAGTCTGCACTTGAAGCAGTTTGGAACATCATCACAAACCGTTCACTTTTCTCAATGCACAAGTTTCATCAGAATTCTGTTTAATGTGAAAGACGAATTGAGCTTTCGCAGTGTCCCCTTCTTCGACTCTCAACTCCGCTTCTCCGTCTTGAAAAGCGACTGTCTTCCTCGTACCCCTCAACCTCAGTCGAGAAAGGCTACAAATCTCAGAGCTAAGATTAGTAAGGACTCCTCAAGTAGCAGAATCATGACCCCGTTCATTTGCTTCGTCATAACATCCCCCTCAATACCTTTTACTACTCGACTATCCGATCCGAACGTCATCTTCCAAAATCTTGATTTGTTCTTTGATTTTAGAACCAAGCACGTCAACCATCCGATCTTAATCCAGGAGCGCTGCTGATTCGGACTACGTCCTTTTCACCGACGTAGACGAGTTTCTGGCCCCGTCCCACGTAGTGTATGACACGTGGCACGACGCCCTGGACCCGTACTTTAAGACGCCCAAAATTGGAGCGCTCCATTTCCAGAGCTGGTAAGGGCCAGATCCTCGCCAGGTTTTTTTGCTTACATCAAGCTTCTGAACGTCGAACCGACGAAAAGACTCCGTTTGTGCTCAAATACTTCGCACTCGGTCCGAGGCCTTTGGAATACGACCTTCCGAGTTGCTCTTTGAAAGTAGCTTCTTCTATGATTGGTTCGACTTGATCTTGAGTACAGCCAGTCGAGGGTCTTCGGTAGCGAAACTTTTACACGCGTATAAATGGGGTGCGTCCAAGACTTCTGGGACCTCTTTCTTGTCCTTCTCTCTTGTCAAAGCCTTTGAACTCAGCGACGAATGCAGAACGTGAGTAGCTGAAACGTTATCCAAGAGTTGCACATAGACCTTGAGCGCTGAAGACAAGTTGCGACTGCGTACGTGTGACTTCCCCGATATTAGAAGGTTCAGCAGGCAGTTGTATATTCTGGGGAAAACTCTTTGAAAGTTTTTGATTCCCTGCAGGTTTACCACCTCCACACTGATCTTACAGAGTTCAGCAGGCTTTCGTGAGTTTGGAAAAGCTCTCTGAATCTTCTCTCGTGGGCTATCCGTCGCAGGTTTTACCACCTCCAGTGTCCGGTCCACGGCCCCTCCATCCGCTCCGAACTGGTCACCGCCTCAGTCCCCGGGCGGCGCTCGGAGCCCGTACCCAAATCCGAGCGCACCAAATACATGGTCCAAGTCGGCGCTGCGCGCTGGCTGGGCTTGCATTCCCTCGACGAAGATAGCGGTTTGAATCCGGGTTTTTTGCGGAAGGACGTAAGCACGGGCTTAATGCATGTCCGGCATTACTCCGATGATATGCATACGGAGGATTGTTCTCCGACCACGATCAAGAAGAGTAAAAAGGACCGGGGTATGGACCATAGCATGCTGCGCTTTCAGGATAAGCTATATGCCAGAGTGCGCGCAGCGCTCGCGTTTGCAGATAGGATGTTTGAGGCGGATCAACGGACTTGAGTGTCGCGGCTCGGCATCTGCGAGAACAAGAAAATGTATCATTATTACGATAAGTGTCACCAAGAGTGAAACCTATTGAATGTCGAGTCACGAATTTCACATGGTTCCGATTTGCTGCAGCATGATAGCTGGGGCTAAGCCTATCACGTCGCTGTCGTAAGCATGATCGTTCGACCGTTGAAAATGTGTGACTTTCAGAAGTTCCGACACCGAGTCAATGCCTGCGGGCGGCCCCCACGTTTGAGGTGCGGATCTAGGCTACTTCCTGCGCGGCTAACGCTGAAGACATGTGCCAGGCATATTGAGTACACAACAAAGCAATCAAGATACGCATAATACTGTAGCCGTCACGAGCTAGATAAGGTGGCTTGTCTCCTTTTCAACATGAAAAGTTTTGGCCACACGTATACTATGATGGCGCAGGTCAAGTGCAAACCAAGCATATGATGGCCTTGGCTAGCGCCCACGATGTCATATACATAATCCAGCATATTGATGAATGCCTGACGGCATGACGGCCAAACGATATTAAGTGCTGACCGACGCCGTGATAGGATGCATGTTGACTTGGATACTGAGACTGTCGTGCAGGAAACGCAATCCACGTTTCACATGCCTCGCGGCGCCCGCCATCAAATCCAATCAAGCATCATGCAATTCAAATCCTTATTCTGCGTGAATTTTGACGCGTTGATGATTGGTGACCTTCTTGAACAATAAAGAAAGGCAGATAATGACCAACAACTTTACTCTACGCCGTTACAAGGTCTCCTCGTAGAATCAAAACGGGATCCCACGCCGGCTTGCCGCCAGTGAGGCATATTGTCCTGCGCTCCTTGCTCGATCGTTTGCTGAGAAGCGCGGGTCTGTGAAATGCTGCAGCTGAGCCGTCAGATGACGTTCAACTCTTGCAAACGCCAAGATTGTCGCCAGGTATGTGCAATCGCCTTGGCACGATCAATTGGGGACAGGATATCCAACGTCCGTTGAGGAACCATGAAACGGAGTCTCCCATGCCAGCGGAATCCGCTTTACCACTGTCAGAAGCGTACGTTGCCTTTTCCGGTTTGTATGCTTACCTAAGTTGGATCAAAACTGCTGACTTTGGCGCTCATCCTGAAGCACGCGCATCAGGGAACGCCGAAAGAAAGTCGGCCTATGCTTTCTCTTTCAGTGAAGCGCTGCCGCGAGCGGAGAGGCGGCGGACGTTCGTCCAGACTGACTCGTTCCGAACACTGCCTGCGACTCGACATCCGTGATTGTCAGAAGTGATGCTCGAGACTTTGAGTCGGCTTCGCTGCTGTGTACATAATAAATCTCACTAGTTTTGGAGCAGACCATCACCCCGATTAGCGCGGTCGATCAAACCACATAAATGTACCAAGCTGGAGACGATGCGTTGAAGACGCGCATTTCGACGCCTGCCAACCTTAGCAGAGACCTCCCTTTCAGGGACAGCGCTGATCATCTAAACCTTTAAAAAGAGAATCGGCTCTCTCAGTCACCTCCGCTGAAGCTCGATAACGTGAGGAGACGAGATTGAATTGGACCGCCCGGAGCGTTACCTCTAATAGTACCACAGAACTGCAATCTGTTTAAGACAGGGGAGGTCAGGCTCCAAGAAAGCTCAGTCCTGGCAATATTGCAAACCGGATTCCGTCCGCCTTTCGAAACGGAAGTGGACTGCAGTTGAAGCGAGACCATTTCTGCAATGCAAACGTACTGGGCGCTCTCCCAAGTAGCGAACGAGCTTCGTACTTTAGTCGAAATTTCCGCCCTGGTTTCTCCTTCCCAGTCGGCACGACCGCCGCTGATCAAACACTTCGGCGCGTTTCCTCCGCAGACCATGCCCCACGTCAATCTTTTGAGAACTGGGACCAAGCCCAGCCCGCTCTTCTGCTGCGCACTGGCCTTCTTCTGGAGCTCGGCCATCCACTTCGCAATCATAACTTTCAAAAAAATTGAATAGTAAGCCCGGATAACAGTAAGCCCTGACTAACACTGAAATCCCTAACCCAACAATTTTACCTGCTCCGAACCCGTACCCACCCTAACCCCCAAGCTAACCCTACCCGTCCCAGTTACTATTATCTTAGCTTAACATTATCTTTCTATTTCGCATCGAGGAATCTTTCTCGGTGTCGCCAATGAATGGTACGAGGTCTTCGCACGAAGGTGTCCAACGATGCCCGGAGCTTCAATTGCGGACGTGGCAAAGCTTGCAGCGACTTCGGACTGTCCGGCGTCATCAACCTGCCGTCATGCAGTGGAAGTCATCCTTGTACGAGTCAGTAGAAATGTTTGTCCGACATGTAACGGGAATCAGGTTCGTATCTTTACAATCACCCGAGTTGACTCTACAGTCCCTTGATTCCCAGCAGGAATCAACGGTTCTCCTCTCTCGGGCTTGCGGGCCGGTGACGATCAGTCCGGCGCGTTCCGTTCCGCCGAGCTGGGTTCCGTTGGGGATCTGACACGACCCGCAGGGCGACACCGCGGCGCAAGGCGTTTGGAGGAGTCGCGGAATGAGTCTGGCGTCCGTTGAACCGTTGGAAACGAGGGCAGAGGATTCAGAACCAAATTTGATAAAAGTCACACTCGAGCCTCGGGGCACTGGCCAAGTGAGCTGGCATGGTAATACTGCACTGAGCGGCGGCGAGTCCCAGCCACAGTAGGTCTGAGGTATGTAGGTACGTACGGTTAGTAACGGCTGTGCAGTGTTGAGTCTGGCCGGACAGCTAAGCGATGAGGTAGTACCTACCATACTACCGTACCTGGTACCTACCTGCCTAGATTACAGTCCTACCTCACCCGCTGGACCAGGTTCCAGAAGCCGCCGGGCCCATAATACTCTAAGAAAGATAATAAGCCAAGATTAAAATAAGCTCCGACTAACACCAAGAACTTTAACCCAAAAGGATACCTGCTCCGCACCCATTCCCACGGTATCCCACCCTAACCACCAGACTAACCATACGGTTACCTCAGCTTGTCAATTTTCATTGCCGGCCGTCCGGAGTATCATGCAAGCAAGCATGCAAGTAATATAAGCCAATCATTGGTCGTACCTCGTGCGTCGTGACTCGGATGCCCGGCAGGGCCGGGCACGCGCTCCGAGAGTAATGGAATCTGGATCATTGTAAGCCAGCGCCAATGGACCGGGAGCCTGATCTCAAGTTTGAGGCCGGGGGATGGTACCTGGTGCGCAGAAGGTTTTGGCCCGTAACCATACATGGTTTGGGCTGGTTATGGGCTGGTTAAAAGTGGTTAAGTTTCCAATAACCAGACTTGGGTGGTATTGGGTAGACCAGCCCTGGAACGAGGTTATTCGATATCCTGCTAATATTACCTAGCCTGGTAATAGCTACCAAAACTTCCTTTGGTACTCATCGCACCGGTCACTTCTTACCAGTCTCACCATTGGCCGGCTGATCCGTTTGGCTCACGTCATCTTCCCGGCATTCCGGCTAGACATCTGGATTCTGGAAGGACGGTTTTCCGACATAATAGAAAATCGGAACACGTCGGTACACGCCTGCATTTCTGTGTTTGGCAGATTTCTAAGTGGCATTTCAAGGTGTGGAAAGTGTGCTAGGTAGCTAACGTGCACCACGGTACCTACTTTGTGTACCTTTGAGGTGGAAGCAGCCTACAAATGTAGTACCGTACCTACAATATACATAATGCCGAGAAAGCAGGAAGCACTGGCGGGGTAGGATATATAGGTATACCTACGTACTGCATGCAAAACGTACCAAGTACGGTCCTCCAGCTGGTGAACGTGGCTCTATTCCAATAGGCACCCGTACGGTACTTGCATGAGCTGCTTGGCTGAGTCACTGGGCTTGAGTCCTGACTTTCTCTGACTGCGCGCAGGCCGCCGTAGAACGTAGCGATTTCCAAACAGAGACTCGTTAATTCTAATTAGTCGCGACGATTTTCTACATTGTGATCATGCGGCAAGGGTTCTGGTGACCCGCTGAATTGAAAGCCTAGCTGCAGAGGGCGCTGAGCAAGGCTAGTCTTCAGTCTCGAGCAGTCCTGGGCCATTTAAGTACGTTCTAGTGTAGCGTCTGCTTAGAGCCGGGACGTCAGTAAACCAGGCAGCTTGCACGTAAATACGACTTGCAACACAGGCTTTTGCACTATTTCCAAGCGCGCGCCTGGTCCTGCTAAGTTTCATATCTTCGTCCTTTGCGTGACGGCAGTACTAGTCTAACGTGCCCGCCCTTTTCAGCCTACACCCCCACTTTGAACGTCGACCCTTATTCAAATGCTCCTTGCCAGTCCTTTTCCAGCAATATCTCTCAAGAAGAAGGTGAGGCAACGCTAGACAGGTGAAAGGTCGACCGCCGGGGCACAAAGAGAAGTAGCTTGTAGCAACTAAGGTGAGCTAGCGCATCCTGCTAATGGCTCAACGACTTTGAGAAAGGTAACCTATTTGAAGCCATTGCCCCATGTTGAGAAAAATAAGTGCAGCCCATTGCCTGTACTGATGAGATGGAAACAATTTGGGTCGACCAAGCATTGCTTGTTCCAAAGATAAAGAGTTAAAAGAAAGGGTGTCTGCAATCTGCATCAAGGAGAGACGTGGTTTTGCTGAAACGCTGGGTCTCCTCAAAACTTCTCTATTTCGGACTCGCTTTCAGAGCCCCCTTCCTGCAAAGATTCTGGCAGATCCTAACTTGAAATCCAGGGCTTTCAATTGAGTTCATCCAGAATTGAGTGTCGCTTCTTGCGTGTGGGTAGCTTCAGATATTCCCTCCCCTCATGTGGACCACAATGCTTAGAAGATACAGCCTTTGCGAAGCGTTGCATGTGCAGGCTGACAAAGTCAGTGACGAGTACCGACTGAATTTCATTCACCCCAGTTATTTTATTGTAATTTTATCTCTAACCATAGAGGACACAGAAAAGTTCCGTCCCGAATCCCTCAGATTTCTGACTACCTCGTTTCCGCCCTTGTAGATGGCCCGCCTTTCCGCTGCACCCCCCCTCCTCCTCCTGTTCGTACTGGCTGTCTTCTTCCCCCCCTCCACAGCAACCAGTGTCTGCGGACTGGGTTCCGCTGTCGATTTTCCAACCCAGTGTTACTTCAATAACGACCCCCAGGGGCGTTACGTCTGCTGTGACGTCATGGGATGCGACGGGTTTGAGGGCGACCAGCTGACCCCCCACTGCAAAAACTTTGGGTTCGTCCCGCCCAATTTTGGAGTCGAAGGTAGGAGCCCCCGTCCCTTTGATGAAAAGAAGCTTGTTTTCAGAACGTACCCGCAAGTGAAGCACACCTCGAAAGAGAAGGTGTCAAAAAGGTTAAGGCTTCTTCTTCAAAATGTACACGGAACTGGGGCACCCCTCGAAGGAGAAGGTTTCAAGAGCTTTCTCTCCGCTCTTTGGTCGCAAGGGTGGGTCACTCAGGAGTAAACATAATCCTGCCTAATAGAGGTCAGTCTGCTATCTGGGGGGCGGGCAGTGCCCATACAGATGCGTTTCGTCAAATCTGTTGGGGTGTGTCCTGCCTTAAGTCTGGCCCTGCTTTTCATTGGGACCTTGAACGCTCGTCTTACAACGAAAGTCCGCCAGATTGTTCTACCCCATGACTACACAGATTCAAACGGCATGACAAAATGTAGATTCTGCTCCTGTCCCTTCTTCGTTGCCCTCCGCATCCTTGCCCGAATTTTGGGCTTTCCTGTCTACCAAACAGAGCTATCGTAGTACCGCTAGCTTTACACCTCCGGAAAATGAAGGTCCAAGCAAAGGTCTTCGCTCGGTCCCAATCTTTGGCTTTGTCCCCCTTTCACCGAGCCTTTCCATGAGGAAGTAGCGTGTTCGTCTTTTGGCCAGTGCAGCTCTTTAGAGTGTTGGTCAGCCCTGCGGCTTAAAATGGTAACCTATACCCGCTACTGTGCCTGTTTCATTTGCACGCCTCTACTCCTGCTCTGCTGAAGTCTGGGTTTTGTGTAAGGCCTACTTTGGTACCTATGAGTTCCTCCAGGTGTCTTACAAGGTTCAAGCTTTCTTTACTTTATCAACCGCAAAGTCTGGACTGAAAGGGATCAAGACTGCGAGCTAAAAGTGTCTTCTTATTTGCAGAAACCCCCTGCGGCGACAGGTGTGACGTTTATAGCCAACTGCCAAACAGGTGAGCTGGGAAACGACCATCATTTTAGGCACGGCCGGCCACTGACCTTCACTTGATCAAAGCTCTTGAGCAACTTGCAGACTCAGCAAAGCTCGTGTCTTTCTGAGTCAGGCCTTAAGGTGATCCCGCTGCAAGGATGTTGAAACGTCGCTGTGAACTTGGTCCGGGAAGGTCACGGCCTTCGCATGCCTGCTTCTTAAAGTAACATATTTTGTTTCTTTTTCACACCAAGTGATCGGTCAGATGAGAAGACGGTCTTCTTAAACTCGTTTGTTGCAGCAGATGAGAGCCAAGGCTATGCAAAGCAAGCGGGAACGCACGAATATTGGAGCCAATAAATCCTGACCTCTTCATATGCAAATTGCTGAAATATTCAATCAAGTCTTTTCTTTTTCGAGCCCTTCGCTTGTTTTTCATATTACACCTGCTTACGCCCCTCCTTACAATCCCTTGACCTTGTGGAGTCTACTGGCCAGATTGTTGAATAACGGACTGCCTGGAAGATGGTTAGTTTAAATTGGGGGTTGAGGGTGAGTACGGGTGTAAAGCATGCATTCCTACTCTTAAGATTGTCGGTTTCCTTTACCCCCCCAAGCACTAATGTCTTAGCCAGCATAACATCGAAACTTATCTTCTTCACAGGTGCTGCAACGCCGAAGGCACTCTCGGAATCTGCTGCCCCGGAAATTGCGGCGCGTCTGTTCCCCGTTCCGACGGTCTCCCCGGTACTCTCGCCACCTGCGGGAACCCCCCCCCGGTCACACCTTCCCCCCCCGCCCCCACTCCCCCGGTACGTACCTGCGACTGCCCCGGGGCGGTCGGTAGCGTCTCCCCCGAGGAGTACTGCGACCTGATTGACTTCGACAAACCGACGAACGCGTTCAACGAGTGCCCATTCAAAAAGGACGGCTTTCAGTTGGACGCGTGTTTCGTGAGCCCTCAACCGCCGCTATATCAGCAGGGGAGCCTGTACTGCTGTATCGACCAGCCGCCGTATGATCAGCTGTGCGGGGACGAGGAGAGTACGTGCTGCTTGGATCACACGAAAGGAGGTGAGCTTTTGAGTGCTACCTTCCCTTCGATGAACCCTGTATATGAAAATCGAACATCAGGAGAAGGGCTGGATTTGCGACCGAAACAAAACTTGAAAGTCGCAAGAAGGGCCGTAAACGTGACTCAGAAAGAGACTCCTTGCCACACGCAACAAGAAAGGTTGGTCGGGGACTCTTCTCGTGGTACTTCAAACGGTTGAGTTGGCGTCCTTCGAAACTTTTATTCCGCAGGGTTTCGAGGACGAATGGTACCTCCAAAGGCTTGCTCCGAAAATGCAAACTCCAAAGAATGGCTCGTACAAATTCGGGTAAACACAGCCTTTTGCATGTAGGTTCCCCTCTGAAAAACTGTTTTCGTCCGTCGATAACAAAGGAAAACGAAGCTTAATCCCGCCCCGTTTCATTCAATTTCAGGCGTGTACTGCGTCCCGACCCTGAAGGAGATCCTAGACGTCTGCGCTCAGAAGAAGACTCCCTCGCCGACTCCTCCCCCGACCACTCCTTCCCCAACAACCGCCCCCCCAACAACCCCTGCCCCGACTTACCCCCCCTCAACAACTCCTGCCCCGACTACCCCCCCCTCAACAACTCCTGCCCCGACCACTCTTCCCCCGACCTGTAACTGTCCGGGGGCAGTCGGAACCATCCCCCCCGAGGAGTACTGCCGTCTGATCGACTTCAACCGCCCGGTTGGTCCTACCGACTGCCCGTATAAGAAGGATGGGTTCCAACTGGATACGTGTTTCGTGACCCCCCAGCCGCCGCAATTCCAAATGGGGGACATGTACTGCTGCATCGATCAGCCGCCGTATGACCAGCTGTGCGGGGACGGGCAGAGCACGTGCTGCTTGGACCACGAGCGGGGGGGTGAGAAGCACTAACAAAAACCACACCCTGTTTCGGTTTTTAATGACCAGACTCGCCTTAATCATATTGTTGCATCAAAGCTGTGTAGGAACGGGCAGAGCAAGTGCTGCTTGGACCATGAACGGGGGGGTAAGAACCGCTGCAAAAATACCTCCCCCTTTAGAGTTTTGATGGCCGTGGTTTATTCTATATCAAAAAAGGGCCTCTTAATCCCGTTTTAATTCTTGTTACCCAGGTGACCCTTTCATGCGCAATCTGCTTGCGCAATCGGCTAGAGGAGCTTAACATAACAGGGGAGTCGCGATGATAGGGGTTCGCGCATTCGGAGAGCGAAGCAACATTCTCTTTAGGGGGTTGAAAGAATAAAAGTTTGTCCAGTTTAAGTTTCTGCAATGCCTGGCAAATCAACCCCTCGATCCCTCGAAGCAGATACTGCCGCTGAAACGTATATCACCATTACATCCTAACGCTTCATATCTTATCCAACAGGCATATACTGCGTCCCAACTCTTCAAGAGATTCTAAAGGTCTGCTCCACTCCGACTCCCCCCCCCACAACTCCGCCCCGA